CCATTATCTGATACAACCTGTTCAGGTAATCCGTAAGAAGCAAACAATCTCCTCAACCTCGTAATGGTAGCTTGTGAGGTTACCTGTGGCATACGAAAAACCACCAACCACTTGGAATAAGCATCAACCACCAACAAAAACATGCAATTCTGAAATGGACCTGCAAAGTCAATATGGATTCTCTTCCAACACTCCCCTGGAAATTCCCATGGATGCAACGGAACTTGTGGTGGTGCTTTCTGTTCAGCTTGGCATACTCCACATTCTCTACACAACTGTTCAATATCTGCATCCAAATTTGGCCACCAGACATAACGACGTGCCAATCCCTTCATTTTTACAATTCCCTGGTGTCCTGCATGAATTTCTTGCAGGACCGTCTGTCTCAATTTCCTTGGAACTATCACACGTGTCCCCCAAAGGACACAGCCCCTCTCTACTGATAATTCATTCCTCCTTTTGTGAAAAACCTTCAAAGATTCCTGAACCACCTCCGGCCAACCTTCCATAGTGTACTGAAAAACCCTAGCTAGTAAGGGATCTGTACGTGAGGCACAAGCCACTTGAGCTACTTTTAGAGGTGCCTCCTCCAGGTCCGTTGACAAGAGAGTATGGATGTGAGCAGCTAACGCATCCATTGTGTCATCAGCTGTTTCAGGTAAAGGACAACGGGACAACCCGTCTGCATTACCATGACATTCGGATTTACGGTATGCTATGCAATAGTCATAAGATGACAAAATTATTGCCCAGCGCTGAATACGCGCTGCTGCCATTGTAGGAAGGTGCTTATTTTCCCCAAACAAGGCTAAAAGTGGTCTATGGTCTGTCAACAAATTAAATCGTCGTCCCCATAAATACTGATGGAACTTTTTGACTCCATAAACCAATCCTAGGGCCTCTTTCTCTATTTGTGAATACTTCTGCTCAGCAAACGAGAGTGTGCGTGAAGCGTACGCAATGGGACGTTCCTCCCCATTGGGCATCGTATGCTGAATGACAGCACCAATTCCATAAGCACTCGCATCACATGCTAACGTTAGAGGTAAGGCAGGGTCATAATGAGCTAACACCCTGTCACTTGTCAGTAATTTTTTACAGTTATTAAAAGCTTTTTGTTCCATCTTAGTCCATCTCCAGACAGTCTGCTCCCTCAAAAGTCTATACAAAGGTGCCAAAAGCATGCTTTGATTCGGCAGAAAACGCCCATAATAGTTTACAAGACCAAGGAAAGCCCGGAGCTCCTTGCAATTTGTAGGTGCGCGAGCCTCCTGTATTGCTCTAACTTTGCCCTCTGATGGGTGCACCCCATTACCATCAAACACATAACCAAGATACTCTATTCGTGGTTTAGAAAATTCACACTTAGATTTTTTTACTCGAAGGCCACATTCTTGAAGACGTTGCAAGACTCCTTGTAGATTAAGCAGGTGAGCCTGCTCATTTTCTCCCATAATTAATAAGTCATCCAAATATACTACAACATTCAAATCCTTCATCAAATTTTCCATAATACGTTGGAAAATTGAAGGCGCAGAGCTAATGCCAAAAGCCAATCTATTGTACACATATAAGCCCCTATGTGTATTAATAGTTGTGTACTTTTTAGACTCCTCATCTAGCAGTACCTGCTGATAGGCAGCTGCAAGATCAATTTTGGAAAACAACTTCCCCCTACTCAGAGTAGCCATTATTTCCTCAATGCGAGGCAAGGGGTACGTCTCAGTACTTGCGACTTGATTAACAGTTACCTTGTAGTCCCCACAAAGGCGAATAGATTTATCCTTCTTAATTACGGGAACTACAGGTGCAGCCCATTCACTATGCTTAACAG